AATATGTTACTTAATTTAATCATGTTATGCTTGAAATAAATTAATCTCAACTCGTTGTTTGCAAATCAATATGGTTAGAAAATACTCAGTTCATGGTGTCTTGCCCAAAATTGAACTTTACTTTACTACAATCCCAAAAATTCATTCACGCAGACCCTAATTTACAAATAGTACTTAAAAATAAAAATAAGGATTCTTAGGACAAAATTAAACTTTTGTCAATTTATAAGCAAGATCCGAGGAAGAGAAAATGCTAACTTTTAGATCTAAGCAAAATAACTGTAAGTTCGGAACAAATCTAACAAATTATCACAATTGAACCCAAATCGGAGTTGGAGGTGTTGGGTTAATGAAGATCTCAACCCAATAATAGAGAGATCACAGAAATAAGAGAAACTCCAAGTTAATTTTTAGTAAATCAGTAAAATTACGCTCACCCCCTATAGATCAACCCTCTACAAGAAACTCTTTAATCATTCTCCATTTTAAAAACAGTTTATGAAAAAAATGATTCAATTTGGGTGAGGTTAGGAGCAGAGACTGAAAATAGGAGAGGGAACTGAGAAGAGGCGCGTAAAGGAGGAAGAAAATAAAATGGGGGTAGGGAGGTGACGACAACACTGAGAAAGGGGTCGCGGGGAGGGAGGGGGGGTTGGATGGGTTTTATGCTAGGTTGTGGCTTTTTTTGTCAGATGTCCACTCCAAAATGAGGATTTGAGAATTTTGATGTTTTTTGGGTTGGATATCTTATCCTAGAATTTTTTTTTGAAATGAACTAAGTTTGTGAAATCCTATTTTATTAAAAATACCACTATTATCCTAGAATTGCTATCCCACCCCCAAATCAATTTTTTTTTGTAAATTTGATAAGCCCTAAAAGGACCCAAATACAATTTGAATAAGATGTCCCCTATGGTCCACGTGCCACGTGGCTACGGACATCAGAGTCCGAGTATTCCACTACATACCAACCAAATGATTCAATATGGAATATTGGTTTTAAGGGGTTGTCTGGTTTCTTTCCTAGATATAGGGAAATGCAATT